TTCTGACTCCCTGTATGAGTTTGCTTCATTCATACTGGTCAGTGATTACATTGACTCTATGCATTATTCAGAGATGGCAAAAGTACTCACAGTCTTTACTTAAGTAGAAGTAGAGATACTTGTGTAAAAATGGACTCTGGTAAAAGTAGAAGTATTGACTCAACTCCTTTCCTCAAGTAAAAGTAAAAAAGCACAGGTTCAGAAATTTACTTAAGTACAAAAGTAAAAAGTAAAAATGAATTTTTAGCTTCAATGATACACAATTCCTCTTTTAAAAATCTGCAAAATGAAAAAAGTTTTAATCACACAAAATAGGATTGTTTTCATCCTTTAAGAACCTGCACAGTGCTGCTACAGAGAAAAAAAATCACTGGACAGTTTTCCATTTCAGCAACATAACAAACATTAAACACTATAATCAACATGGAAACACTCATCTCTCCAAGACTACCAAAATCTTTCATTGAGCCTCAGCAGAAGCTGGTTCTCAAAGTTCTTTGAATGAAGACGTGCCCTTTTGGATCTGAAAATCAGTCCTGCAGAGCTGAAAAGCCTCTGGCAGGCAGCTGAGGCAGGCAGGGGTGTGAGGAGCTTCAGTGACAAATTGCACACTGCTGGGAAAGATAAAGACGTTTGTTGTTACGTCTTTTACACCATGTCGTCATCCACAGAGGTTGAAACAAGTAACGAGCAAGTTTTGAGAATGTAAGGAGTAGAAAGTACAGATATTTGTGTTCAAATGTTGGGAGTAAAAGTAAGAAATCGTAAGAAAAACTAATACTCAAGTACAGATACCTGCAAAATCTACTTAAGTACAGTAACAAAGTATTATATTTCATTACATCCCACCTCTGGCATTATTACAATAACACACTGCTTTTGAATAGGATTGTTTGTATTAAATATAATGTATTCTTGCACATTCTCAAGGGCTAAATTTGCACATTCCTGCACACTGGAAGTATTTCTGCTACCTTGCTTGATTACACGTATTGCCAATTTGACTTGTGGCACTTTCTCTTTATTTATTTATCTTGTTACACTTACTGTCCACTGACGTGCCACACTTTTTAATCTACATGTTAGTGTCTACAGTTACGTACCAATGCACCAAGTCAAATTCCTCCTATGTGAAAACCTACTTTGCAATAAAACTGTTTCTGAGCCCAGATGTAAATAGCTTTACTCGATGTTATTTTTCTTTTGCTTTACCTTCTGTGATTATTCTGATACGTAGAAGAACACTGAGCTGTTTTATGACATAGTGTTATGTATGTTGTTGTGCACTGCAGTTTTAACCTCCTGGTTGTGACATGCTCAGTTGAGGTCCAAGTTTATATCATTGCAGCTGGATCAGGGACTTGTAGAACCTGGTTTTCTACACTGTACCGTCCACTGCAGAGCCTGATTGAGCCAGGCTATAGCTGGGAGTTTGACTGTTTATTGCGGCTGTATCCATGGCTGTGATTTGATTTATGCTGTGACTCCTTTGTTTTGAATGAGTGTAACTAAACGTTGTGAAAAATATTTTGTAATTCCTTTGGTGTACTAGGAACACAAGGAAGTTACATGTGTACACTATGGTTTAATGCACATTTGTAAAGACGATCAGCTCCAACTTAAACATCTGTTTTATTCCAAAGTTTACATATGCTGTATAAAGACACATAACCTTTTCTTCTCACTATCTGACATTAAATCAGTAACCTAATAATAATAATAATAATAACAACAATAATAATAACAATAATAATAACTGATCAGATTTCTGGAGCGCTTTTCTCGGCATTCAAAGATGCTTTACATTGTCAGTTGTTCATTCACACACATTCATTCTTGTGGTAGCTATGACTGTATCCACAGCTGCCCTGGGGCAGACTGACAGAGGTGTGGCTGCCATTCTGCACCTCCAACCACCACCTCAAACTTTACACAGGGATGAGAAAAAAGAAAAAAAAAAGAAAATAGAATAAAGATGTGAATATAAAATTAAAAGAAATGGAAAAACAACCGGGATATTGCGTTCAAGAAGAATGAATAATGGGAATTTGCTGCGTTCAGGGCAAGGCAGCTCTTGGGTAGAAACTGTTCTTTACTGTGTTTGTCCTTGTCTTTATTGCCCTAAAACACCTCTCTGAGGGCAGGAGTTCGAGGAGGTGGTGGCCGGGGTGTGAGGGATCCCTGATGATGCTGCGGGCTCTCCTGAGGCAGCGGGTGCTGTAAATCTCCTCCAGACATGGAAGAGGACAGCCAGTCAGTCTCTGGGCAGTGTTTGTGACCCTCTGGAGCTGTTTCCTTTCTGCCACAGTGCAGCTGGAGAACCACAGCGAGATGCCGTGGCTCAGCACCCACTCCACCGAGCAGCAGTAGAAGGACACCAAGAGCTCAGTTCTTAGATTGTTCTTCCTGAGAATCCTCAGAAATTAGAGTCTCTGCTGTGCCTTCTTCAGGATTGAAGTGGAGTTTGCAGTCCAGGTCAGGTCTTCACTGATGTAGGTGCCCAGGAACCTGAAGTCTGGCACCATCTCCACCCAGTCCCCATTGATTGTGATGGGCTGAATGTCCAGTTTACACCTCCTGAAGTCGACAATCAGTTCCTTCGACTTGGGTGTGTTCAGGATGAGTTTGTTGGTGGTGCACCAGACTGATAGTCGCTCCACCTCCATTCTGTGTGCGGTCTCATCTTCTTTAGAGATGAGCCCCATCACCGTGGTATTATCCACGAACTTGATGATGGTGTTGTTCGGGAGGGTGGGGTTGCAGTTGTGGGTGTAGAGGGTGTAGAGTAGGGGGCTTAGCACACAGCTCTGTGGAGAGCCAGAGCTGGTGCTCAGTGCTGAGGACAGGTGGGGCCCTACTCTCACCCTCTGGGAGCGGTTTTATCCAAAGCAACGTACATCTGAGAGCAGATACAACACAAGCAAGGATCTAGTCAGGAGAAAACAATCTGTGTATAAACACACACACACACACAGAGTTCTTAACAAATTTATTAGACCATCTGTCATTGGGGTTACTGCTGTAAACAAAAGTTTGCATGCACTCATAAAGACCATGTAAATCATAGCATTCTTGACTTTCCAATGACTCATATAACTTGAATTTTCTATGATGTAATTATTGAAACCCATGAGTCTTTGTCACAAACAACAATCATGCATATTGGCTCTTTCATAGATTTATTGAAGGACTTCTGGAAAACATGACAGATTATGATTGGTCAAAAATTGACAAATAGCAACTTGAATGATCAGTTTTAGTGATCTAGAAAGCTTGTTTTATCAAAGTTGCTTTTCTTGAATGACTACAAATGACTACAGCTGCTGACTTTCCAATTTAAATAGGGCCCAACTGATCCACTCATTGGACTTTGCCTCAAACACCACAGTGGGGAAGACTGAGGATCTCAGCAAAGATTTGAAAAAGCAAATCATTGAATGGAACAAGTCAAGAAAGACACTTGAAGTAATTTCAAAGCAGCTACAGATCTCAAGATCATCTGCACAATCCACTGTAGCATAAGGTTCATGGTACAGATGTGTCACTGCCACGATCAGGAAGAAAACACAAACTATCACCTGCTGCTGTGAGATAGTCAGTCACGATGGTTAAGAGTCAACCAAGAATCACCAAAAAGTAGGTCTGCAATGAATCAGAAGCTGCTGGATCACAGCTGTCAGTGTCCACAGTCAAGTGTGTTTTACATCACCATCAGCTCAGAGGCTGCTGTGCAAGAAGGAAGCTCTTTCTCTAGAAACTGCTTGACATTAGTTTGCTGCTGATCACATGGACAAACCTCTTCAAGAATCTGTGGCAAGTCTGTGTCAGAACGCCAACAAATTTAGTTGAACTATACCAATTCTGTCAAGAGGAGTAATGAAAGATACAACCAGAAGCTTGTGACTGGCTACCAAACGAACCTAGTCGAGGTGAAAATAGCCAAAGGACATTTAACAAAATATTTACATTTCTTTATGTATATTTTTGACCTTGCAAATTTTGTCAAAATATCAGAAGATGTTTAATAAATCTAAAAAAGAACCAAAATGATGATTGTCATTTGTTGTAGCCACGCACGTGTTTCAGTGAGTCAATCACAGAAAATTCAGAATTAAGAGTTGCAAACTCAAGGCTGCCATGATACATATGCTCTTTACAAGTCGATGGTTCATGACAATATACCTGAAATGAACACTTAGCTCCCCCTTTCCAAATTGATTTGTGATTACTGTCTTGGTAAATAAAAGCTTTTGGTTATTCGCTGCCTGTCTCTGCACCTGGGTTCAGACTCCGCCCTGGTGGCAGGACCTGACCATTGTTTACAGGCAGACGGAATAAAGTGTCAGCTTGTCCTGTATGACAGTGATTATCCCTTTACACCATAATATGTTAAAACTAATCTGAAACATCTGTAATGAAAGTAAATTTCCTATTCAAAAAACAACAACCAAAAAAACCCCAAAAAACTGCAAATTCTGGTTGGTAATAAGTCAACTACACTGAGCTACCTGAGAGTTTGGTGCCCCTCTCTGTGTCTGACAAACTATTACCAGTGTAAATCAGAACCCTTGTGTTTTAATGTATTAATTCACCTGCAGTCTCATGATGCTGACTATGTAGGCTTCATAAAGCTGAGAGGGAATGTAAAGAAGTCACACACCCAGTGCTTAACAAGGATTTTTTTTTGTCATCTCTAGCTCTGGTCCACAAATGCTCACTAGTTCTGTTGCGTTTTATGAACTCTAAGCAATTAAAAGCCTTTGAGTGATAAGAAGTTTGCCTTAACTACACAAGATATCTTAGTAAGAAGCTGCCTCATCCCTAATGTTCAAGGAGTAGCTCAGCCTATGTAAATATGTTCAACACACACGCGGGTGAAGTTTCTTACTCTCTGCATAATGTACCATATAATGTGTGCATCCTCTACCTGACTTCCTAACTAGTTCCTAGAACTGCATAAACAGATTAATACTAACAAATAAAACTCTGGAACAAATGAGCAGCTTGAGTGAATGAGTGCTTTATTCATTTTGTGTTTAACATCAGTAATTTAAATTTTATTTACAAATGTGAACTTTTATCAATTAAAATTTCTACTTAAGAACAACCATTTCTCTTCTTCTGTCCTGCTAATAGCAGACCAAATCAGACAGTGGTGAATGTGAAGTGAGTGACATGTTGGTAATCCACACCAGGACGCAGGAGGCAGTCCGGAAACGAAGCCTGAACAAACACATGCACACACGAAAGACATGAGTTTTTTAGTTGTGTCCGAGTTCAGAGCTACACAGACATGAATGCTAAAACACTTTGTTAGGTTGAGTAAGATTAAACCTTTGTCAAGACAAGTGTTATCTAAAATGATACTAAAATATAAGGTCCCCATTCTTGGTTATTATTGCGAACAAAATCCTTAGCTTGTAGTCAAGAGTTACAGCTTCATCTCCAACTCACTGTCAGGCAAACACAAACAGCCCCTTGAGGATATGTAAGTAAAATGTATTAATATAGCACCTTTCACAGATACAAAATCACAAAGTGCTTTACAACACTAACAAAACAAGGACAAAAACAATAATGGTAAAGGTAAAGGTAATAAACTGCTAAAACGAGAGCAACAGCTAAAATACAGTGCATCAAAAACAATAAATAAAATAAAATAAAATAAAATAAAATGAAATAAAATAAAGCAGCCATAGGTCGACCAAAAGCCTGTCTGAATAAAAACATTTTCAGATGTCTCACAAAATTTTCACAGGAGTCGACCGATCTCAGTTGTAGAGGAAGAGCATTCCACAGTTTTGGTGTGAAAGCTTGAAGAGCATAGTCACCACGGGTTTTGTACTTGGATTGAGGGACAACAAGTATTTTTTGTTGGCCTGGCCTAAGAGCTCTATGCGGAGCGTACCAGTGAAGGAGGTCGGAAATATACTGTGGTGATTGGCCATGTAAAGCCCTTAAAGTTAGCAATAGAATTTTAAAATGTACATGAAAATTGATAGGGAGCCAGTGAAGAGAGGACAGGACTGTGGTGGGATCTCTGGTTAGTTCCTGTTAAAAGACGAGCAGCTGCATTTTGGACTGTCTTAAGGCGGTTAAGAGAAGACTGATTTAAACAGGTAAAAAGGGCATTACAGTAATCTAAATTAGATGAAATAAAAGCATGCAAAATCATCTCCAGTTCCACTTTGGATACCATGGATTTTAACTTAGCGATGCTGCGCAGATGGTAAAAACAGGAACGTATAAGCTGGCTGACATGGCTGTCTAGTGACAGAGATTGATCAAAAATCATGCCTAGATTTCTAGCGTAAGGCTTAATAAAGTCTCTCAATGGGGGCTGCAAGGTGGTTCGCACTGTTGCCTCGCAGCAAGAAGGTCACCGGTTCGTGTCCCGGTGAGGACACCCAGGATCTTTCTCCGTGGAGTTTGCATGTTCTCCCCGTGCAGTGTGGGTTTTCTCTGGGTTCTCCAGCTTCCTCCCACAGTCCAAAAACATGTTGAGGTTAATTGGTGATTCTAAATTGTCCATAGGTGTGAGTGTGAGTGTGCTTGGTTGTCTGTCTCTAAGTGTGGCCCTGTGATCGACTAGCGACCTGTCCAGGGTGTCCCCTGCCTTCACCCTAAGTCAGCTGGGATAGGCTCCAGCCCCCCTGCAACCCTAGTGAGGATTAACCAGTGTATAGATAATGGATGGATGGATCGGCATTTTATTCAACCTGCCTGTTTGGGCCCTGGTTTCTAAATTACACTTAACAGAGAAACTGTTAGTTTTAAAGACACATCTCTCCATAAAACAGCACTGTATGACTAGGTTTCAATTCATCATACCTGGTTGACAGCATCAGGCCAGTTCTGCGTCTCTAGACAAAAGGAGCAGTGCTTCCCGTACCGAGACCCATTCTTTCCCGTTATAGAGCCATCCAGGACGTTAGCAGTGTAGAACTGGACTCCTGGTTGGCTGGTAGAAACCTCCAAGACACGGCCACTTGCTTGGTGACAGACTCTGAAATAAAAAAGTTTTCCTCACAGACTTCATTAAAGACAGTAATCTGTGGGATTGAGAGAAAAATAATTCTGCAGCAAACCTGGCTGCATGTCTCACTGTCCAGGGATCTTTGGGTCCTGACAGACAGAAGTTGTGGTCAAACCCTGGACCGGGAACTTCGTTCAGCCGAGGGCCAATCAGAGTTTGCTGTCTGAGGTCAAAAGGTGTGCCATCCACTGCTCTGATCTCTCCTGTAGATATATTAGGTAACTGAGTCATGATTGGGTATCACTAAACACATGATAGATAATGGGACATGGCCCATTCTCTAAAAATGCTGACAAAAGAAAGGAGTTTGGCAATAAACATATGTTTTACCAACATTAAGTGGCATGGTGCTGTCCTGATCTTATAATGTCATCGTTTTCCTTATATGTGCTGTCCAAAGTCATGTTTCAAAGCAAAGCGACAACACATCAAAGTATGATTTTTAGGTTCTCTTGTTTAGAGAGTGACATCTGTGTCTAGGGTCTGAAATGGACAACAAAGGAACGCTGGTTACGTACTGTAAGCCCAGATTCTGTGAGTATAGTCCTCTAACAGTTCTTGATAAAGGGGTTTATCGCCTCATGCAGGCACAGTCCTGACGATTTTCTTTTGAAAGCTTTTACCCAACATGAGCCCCTAGGTCTCCCTACCATAATTCACATAAAGTCAAGCAAATCTGAAAAAAAGTTCCCATTTGACCCCCTCAGGATCAGCAGATTTTTACATAAAATAGACCTTGGAAGTTTTCTACTTTTTTTTTTTTTTTGCTTTTTACCAATCATGGTCAATTTAATTTGGCTTTGTTGACAAGAACTTAGGAAAAATATCAAAGTGGACACAGATTTATATGAAATAATGTCAATAATTTAAAAATCTAAACGCAACCTAAAATCTAAAGTTGCATCAAAAAGATAAGGGACACTTCTTTGAGAACAGTAATAAACATGTTTTGGACAAATAAGACAGATGGTCTGAGAGAAGGGTAAAGGAGACCATCCATGTCAAACTGGAACAGCCATCTCTGAATAGAGGAGGGGGGCTACAACACCAATTATCAAGCACCTATAAGGCAGTGTTAAAATCTCTCTGCATGAAGTTTCACCATCATTAACATCTTGAGTCACTCCTGACATGGCAGATTCACATCCTGTCTTGAATACACTGGCAGCTCCACGACCAGTATTACTGTGGTTGCTGTTGGACCACCTGGCTTCACAACAATTCACACCTCGAGGAACGTGAGTCCTTGGTCATCAATGGACGACTGGCCTTGTGAGCTGAAGTGACTATATACATCTGAAACTGTTCCTCAGTCAGTTTTCAGTCAGTTCTCCATGGAGTTTGCATGTTCTCCCCGTGCAGCGTAGGTTCTCTCCAGCTTCCACCCACAAGGTCCAAAAACATGTTAAAATGAATTGGTGATTCTAAAGTGTTCGTAGGCGTGAATGTGAGTGTGCTTGGTTGTCTGTCTCTAAGTGTGGCCCTGTGATAGACTAGCGACCTGTCCAGGGTGTCCCCTGCCTTCACCCTAAGTCAGCTGGGATAGACTCCAGCCCCCCAGTGACCCTAGTGAGGATTAAGCGGTGTATAGATAATGGATGGATGGATATTTCTGTTGAATCACAATTCAAAAGCAATGTCACGATTTGCATAAAATTTTTGTTTATTATTACTTTTGTTAATTTTAGCTTATTTCAGTGACAACTGTTTTTTTCCTTCTTTAATGGGAGGGTATGAATAAATATGAAGACGACTGTACATCTACCTTCTAAATTACATATATTTAAAAATACATATATATTAGAAAGTGTTCACAAAATCCAAACAGGGCAAGTGTTAGAAAGATGAACACATTTTGTGAAAAAAAACATAATAAAATTCTTTTCTCCTCAGTCAGCTGAAAAGCCATGACAGAAATTCAACTACTTTTTGGATGCTTACAGACCAGTGGAGAGAATATGGAAACAAATTTAAAACCTAAGTAGTAAAATATCCACAGTATGTACAGTCACTGTTTTTTCCTGTATTATTAACACCTGCCAAGTCAAACATGTTAAGGCCAAGTACATTTTTATGAATGTTTTTTCCTTTCTGTTTTTGTGATTTCTGGCACTCTGAGTCAGACTGCACAAAAGACATTTTCGAGTTCTCTCCACTTCCATGGTTGTGTTGTTTTTAGGATTTTAAACTATCGGGTCACTTTACTAGTTAGGCCTAATGAAATCCAAGGCAATTCAATACAACTGCTCTGCCATAAATTCTACTTTTATGGAGCTACTACATGTTCCTGTTTTCCTGAGGGTGTCAAAAAGATGATAACTCTTTAACCATCATCTTTATTATTGTAATGAATTATATTTAAAGGTGTTTTTAATATGTTCACTACAACATACATAAGCGGGGCAATAGATAGGGAGCATTTTTAAATGTAATGCAGTCTAGTACACAACCACTACCCACTATGACCTCAGCAGTAAACATAAAGTAGACTGATCAACTTTGACAGGTTTGACAAAACTGAAAATGTAGAAGCTCCTTAACAGTCACAATCTATGACAGAGCTGTTGTGTTAGATTGCATTAGATTTCACAGGTGTATTTAATAAAGTGACCAGTGATTGTATATTGCAGTAAAACTAGCCCAAAGTGAGCACAGATCTGACAGAAGCAAAAAATTGCAGAAAAATTGATTAGGGTTCAGAGGATAAAGGCACTCCAAAATCTCCCTGACATACTTGTGAACTATGAACTTGCTAGACCCTTGAAGTAATCTGAAACAAGTCATCTGGTTATTCCCTGCCTCTTCATGAATGTTGGAGAAAATACCTTTAACTTTCAAGCTACTAGAGTAACCAATCCATTGATTTTAGGTGTGCGCCAACACTACCATCTTTTAAAACTAAACTAAAAAAATTCCATTTTAGCTGTACCTTTCAGTAGTCAGGTTTGGCCATCTTAATAACAAACAAAATATAATGATGCACAATCCCAACTAATCAACACATTGCCTCAGATGCATGGGAGGGACAGGTGAGATTTGATATGTGTTCTGTAAATGTTTTACCAGTAGGAATCGATGTGCCATCCACAGGTAGATAGGACTGTGCATTGATGGACACCTGATGGTCGTAGATGTTTGCAGCATTATGGACCTACATGCATAAACACACACGCAAATCTGTCATCTTAGTGTTGGTAAATTTATGAATCAGTGTTCATCAAATGTCTATATATCAAATGCAGTTTAATGTTTTACTTTTTATGTCATCATGCAGCATTCAGGATAACTAGCCCTAAAGACTATCAGCAGAAAACTGCCCAAGTGTAGGACTTTGTTCAATAAGAAGTACTGTAACTTCTGTACATCTACCAATGGTATTAGCAATGAATTAGTCAACAGGTCGAGAGAGAGAGCGATGGACAGACACAGGCACACAGCACTGACTGACTCTACTGACTCTCACAACCCCATACTTACTTACAACTTAGTTTGGTTTAAGTAAACAAAAATAAGCTTTAATTGTTATCCTTGGGGGCTGCAGGGTGGCGCAGTTGGTAGCACTGTTGCCTCGCAGCAGGAAGGTTGCTGGTTCGCGTCCTGGTGGGGGCACCGGAATCTTTCTGCATGGCGTTTGCATGTTCTCCCCGTGCAGCGTGGGTTCTTCCTCCCACACAGTCCAAAAACATGTTGAGGTTAATTGGTGATTCTAAATTGTCCGTAGGTGTGAATGTGAGTGTGCTTGGTTGTCTGTCTCTAAGTGTAGCCCTGTGATAGACTGGCGACCTGTCCAGGGCGTCCCTTGCCTTTGCCCTAAGTCGGCTGGGATAGACTCCAGCTCACGCATAAGCACACCATAGTTGTGTTCTTATTAAACATGCGCCTGAACATTTGCTTGCAAAGGCCAGCTAATGTGTAGAAAGTGAAATGAGTTAACTTTGATTTTAAACAAGGTCTTCTTAAAATAGAATTTGATGACTTTTTTTTAAAGCCAGAACTGTAATCATTAAATTCCTGGTCTTCAACATATATTGGCATTAACTGTAAGCAAAGGATAGTTTAGCTACTGTAAAGCTAATACTAAGCTAACAGCCATTAAAAACATTGTTGCATTGAGTATTTATTTTTAATATAAGCAAATCTATCAAGGGCTGGCCAATCATCTAGTATTAACTCAATATATATATTGTGACAAATGTAGTTTTGCTTTGTTTTTTAAGAAGATTAACATTAGCTCTCTAAAATTAGTTAGCAATAGATTCAGATTCAGATTTGTTTTATTGTCATTGTAACATGTACAATGAAACGAAGGTGCAGCCCTTTCAGTGCAAAAATATAAGAACTTGGAGCAATATCAGTTAGCCAAACTAACTTATACTATAGGAAATCTTAAATGTTAAAACAGTATGTTTCGAGCTATTATGTATTCTGAATCTGTATTTTGCACTGAGCGTATGATTCTGTTTCGTGTTTTCCTACTGAGAACAGCATACGTCCTTGAAGATAACGTGGCCGGTGAGAACCAGTTCACACACTTGGAGACAGCAGAAACTCCTCTATTCTATCAGATACGATTGTTACTTTAGCTACACGCCGTACCAACAACATCCACACATGCTGCTTACCAAACATCAAGGACATGGACAGAGCACAGAAGGATGCCTGTCCACGCCATTAGTAACTGGCCAATTAAACTCGGGAGCGTACAAATCTTATCTATGTTCGGGGCAGGCCCAGCCCAAGAAGATATCTGTAACCTGGAACCGAAAAACCTCAGTTCAGCTGGACATGAGATTCCTCTCTGTCCCTCTGAATTCCAGCGCTGCCTCACTTTACCTGTGACTGAAATAAATAAATTATACAACTGAGAACTGAAGATTTCTCCAGCTTGTTCTTGGGCTTCCAACAAAAGAATCGGGTCTAACAGATAGTTTAGCTAATGTAAAGCTAATACTAAGCTAACAGCCATTAAACACATGGTTGCATTGAGTATTTGTTTTTATATAAGCAAATCTATCAAGGGCTGGCCAATCATCTAGTATTAACTCATATATATATTGTGACAAATGTAGTTTTGCTTTGTTTTTTAAACACTACTTGTTTGGAATAAATGTATTATTGTTTTTTAGTGTCGCACATTTTCCTATTCATGCAGCAGGCCAGGATCTGAACTTAAGGACGTCATAGCACAGCTTCAAGAGGTAACCTAAAAGCTAAAAATCACTTGGCATGTTCAGTCTACTGTCCTCTGAGAAGCCATAAAGCTATTAGCATTTTTGAAATTGGATAACCTGAATCTGCCTTAGAAAAACACAAATCTCGTATCCACATTAATTAATTGTCAACCTGAGTATAGGTTGTCCAGAAATTTCAGGTAAGTACTGTTTCCCTAGCACACCAGTTCAAGTAGTTAAGAATATTTCAGATTAATGCGTTTTGCTCAGATCAAATCAGTCCAGTCCGTAGTTGCTTTACATGACACCACATTGCCATCTAGTGGTACTGGATACCTGCTAAAAGAAACAGCCTTTAGTTGTCAAGAAAGGATTACATCCATCCATTGTCTATACAGGCGCTGGTCATATAATTAGAATATCATGAAAAAGTTTATTTGTTTCAGTAATTCCATTCAAAAAGTGAAACTTGTATATTATATTCATTCATTACACACAGACTGACATATTTCAAATGCTTATTTCTCTTAATTTTGATGATTATACCTGAATACTAATGAAAATCTCAAATTCAGTATCTCAGAAAATTAGAATACTGTGGAAAGGTTCAATATTGAAGACACCTGGTGCCACACTCTAATCAGCTAATTAACTCAAAACACTTGCAAAGGCCTTTAAATGGTCCCTCAGTCTAGTTCTGTAGGCTACACAATCACAGGGAAGACTGCTGACCTGACAGTTGTCCAAAAGATGACCACTGACACCTTGCACAAGGAGGGCAAGACACAAAAGGCCATTGCTAAAGAGGCTGGCTGTTAATAGAGCTCTGTGTCCAAGCACATCAATAGAGAGGCGAAGGGAAGGAAAAGATGTGGTAGAAAAAAGTGTACAAACAATAGGGATAGCCGCACCCTGGAGAGGATTGTGAAATGAAATCAATGTGGGGGAGATCCACAAAGAGTGGACTGCAGCTGGAGTCAGTGCTTCAAGAACCAGCACGCACAGACGTATGCAAGACATGGGTTACAGCTGTCGCACAGCTGCTGAGTGGTCCAAAGTTATGTTCTCTGATGAAAGCAAATTTTGCATGTCCTTTGGAAATCAAGCTCCAAGAGTCTGGAGGAAGAGAGGAGAGGCACAGAATCGACGTTGCTTGACGCTGAGTGTAAAGTTTCCACAGTCAGTGATGGTTTGGGGTGCCATGTCATCTGCTGGTGTTGGTCCACTGTGTTTTCTTAGGTTAAAGGTCAACGCACCTGTCTACCAGGAAGTTTTAGAGTACTTCATGCTTCTTGCTGCTGACCAACTTTATGGAGATGCAGATTTCATTTTCCAACAGGACTTGGTACCTGCACACAGTGCCAAAGCTACCAGTACCTGGTTTAAGGACCATGGTATCCCTGCTCTTAATTGGCCAGCAAACTCGCCTGATATTGTGAAGAGGAAAATGTGATATGCCAAACCCAACAATGCAGAAGAACTGAAAGCCACTATCAGAGCAACCTGGGCTCTAATTCAAATTTTCTGAGATACTGAATTTGGGATTTTCATTAGTATTCACATGCAATCATCAAAATTAAGAGAAATAAAACATTTGAAATATATCAGTTTGCGTGTAGTGAATGGATATAATATACAAGTTTCACTTTTTGAATGGAATTACTGAAATAAATAAACTTTTTCATGATATTCAAAATATATGACCAGCACCTGTACACTACTTAATCCTCACCAGGGCTGCTCGGGGCTGGAGTCTATCCCAGCTGGCTCAGGGTAAAGGCAGGTTCACCTGGACAGGTCGCCGGTCTATCACAGGGCTACACTTAGAGACAGACAACCAAGCACACTCACATTCACACCTACGGACAATTTAGAGTCACCAATTAACCTCAACATGTTTCTGGACTGTGGGAGGAAGCCGGAGAACCCGTAGAGAACCCACGCTACACAGAAAGAACATGGAGACTCCATGCAGAAAGATCCTGGGCAGCCTAACTGGAACGAGCTGGGGATCTTCTAGCTGTGAGGCGATGGTGCTAACCACCAGGACACCTTGCAGCCAAGGTGCAGCCAAGGTGCAGCCAAGGTGCAGCCAATACATTGCAGCATTGGAAAATGTTTTTTTCTTTTTTTGCATATCCTAGTTGGGGTCAGAGTGCAGAGTCAGCCATGGTACAGCGCCCCTGCAGCAGGTAGGGTTAAGGGCCTTGCTCAGGGGCCAACAATAGCAGCACTGGGGTTTGAACCTCTAACCTTCTGATCAATAGCCCTAAAATAGGCTTCAAGTACTTTACTGTAAATCACAATGTTAGGCAAGTCTTAAACACGTTTTTAGTTTCAGAAATTGGAAATTAAATTAGGACCTTGTTGACTTTTAGTTATTAGCAGCATTAAAAATCACAGTGACAAAAACTAATTAGTCAGGTGTATGTGTTGTGGTTGTTTTTGAATGACTTTCATTATTTTGATCTTTTGTTTATGTAATTAACTAAATAATACTTTCATATCTGTCATTGCTTCCCTTCAACATTTACCGACACAAATGTAGTTGGACGATCGTATAGTTTTTATGTGCTCTTACCTGTCCAGACAGATTGAAGTAGGAGTGATTGGTGAGGTTGATAGGGGTGGTTTTGGTAGACCAGGCTCGGTACTCAGCAGTTAGTGTTTCCCCCTGAACAAACAATTCAGTTTGTACTGAACTCACATCTGCAAGCCATTTATTTATTCAGATGTAAAATCTTTTAAATGCTAACAATAACTAATGACAACAAACAAAATGCATGATGAATTCTACAACATTTTAGAAACATTTCTTTGGGGCAAATAAAGACATCCTCCCCTAATTTTGGGGCAGATACTGTAATTATTCAACATCTGCCAAGTCTGAGAGCATTTTCATCCCAGGCTGGTTCATTTTATTAAAAATGTTTTCATAACAGAATACTGTGTATTCCTGTTTGACCCATTTGAGTGGAATCATTTGCGAGTTCTATCAGATCATCCCTGTCAAAAGTAAACTTTGTGTGATAAAGTAAAAACGTTTGGGCTACAGACATGGGAGGGTATGAGCTGTGTGTGCCTACCTGTAGGGTGTAGGACACAGAGACGTTCACCTCTCCAGGATAACCCTGGTCTCCATCTGGACTTGTAAGACTCAGCTGCACGCCATCTTCTACTGCTGTAGCATGCCAGATAGCCTGGAGAGACAAGCACGCATTTGTTATGCAACACATAAAGTGAAAGTAGTCAAAGCGCAATAAATAGTCACGTTAAATGAAATACTGAACATTCAGGGGCACACAGGTAAGCTACATGTCATGGGCTGCTGGTGAAAGAAGAATACCTCCCAATATTGTATCGATTCTTCGTCTTATTATTGTGTAAAAAACAAGGTTTCACCACTCTGATTTAAAATGTAAGTGGGTGTCTTGTGAAGTTTTACTTACTTAGACCAAAATGTCCTTCTTCAGTAAGTCTTGACAAAAGGAATGGTAGCAGTGAGCAAAATGGTTTTAACACACAGCGCATTTCAAAACCATGTTAACAGCAGAAGGAAATTTGATGTTATTGCTTCTTAAGACAATACAAGACAAAAGTACAGAGTGGCTTTTAGCTGTTATTTCACACTATTTATATGCTAAAATAGCCTAACACTATCCCTGCTAAAATATTGTCTAGAAAGAGCTATTTTAATGCTAAACCCCCTTTTCTTCAAATGTGCAAAATTAAGTTCACAACTGACTGACAGGTGTGCGTCACTGGCCATGTTTTCAGTTTGCATGGATTGCACGCACAAAAAAGAAAAGTGTCTGTCCAGCCTTCATTTCAGCTAATTCTTTCATTTGTTCAAAGTGCAGTTGCTAGCAGGCAAACGCCAACATCCATCCATCCATAATCTATACACCACTTAATCCTGACTGGGGTCGCTGGGGGGCTGGAGTCTATCCCAGCTGACATAGGGCGAAGGCAGGGGACACTCTGGACAGGTCACCAGTCTATCGCAGGGCCACACTAGAGACAGACAACCAAGGTCACTCGATGCTAGCTCCAAAAGACTTCCATTCAAAAAGGGTCAACTTCTCTCAATAAATGTTGAGCCCAACAGTTGTTTCCAACAAGTCATAATGATGATATTTGTTTAATTCACACCTTCTGATCAGTGTGCTGGCAGTCCGTCTGAAAATAATTCCATAAATAAGTAAAAACTAGGCTTCAAAATTGGCTAAGTTTATGGCTGTGGCTGGTTTGATTATCATGTCTGGTGTAGAGGGATCAACAGGCTATTTAGGGAAAGCAGCCCAGGAAAGTTATACACCGCTGAATTTAAATTGCAGCCTTGTTGTTTTGACATTACATTACTGCTATTTTCTCATTATTTGCCAATATGGTAGGCAATAATTTTTTAACAGACACTTGTGTTGGTTAGCTTGTTTTAATAGGTTAATAGTGTGCCCTGATTCTAGCCCATCAGACCGATTAATCCAGAGATAACTGAAATCAGGAGCAAAGGACAGCTGAGCCATTCAAGAAAAAAACATACATCACACAACAAATTTGTGAGAACACCAAACAGTGTTTACCTTGGTTTATCCACATTGTAAAACTTTGGACTAAAAGCTTTCTTAAATCTCATTCAAGTTTATGAAAGAAACACATATTAACCTAGTCCTACCTTATTAAAGCCATGCAGACCTCCATGCAGTGCATTTGGTCCATTGTTGATTTCTAGTTGGTATTCCTTGCCTTCCACTTCAAAGCGTCCTCCTGCAATCCTGTTGGCCACACGGCCCACCACTGCACCCATATACCGTTTATCTGACACATAACCTAAAAACAGAACACAACACAGATCAATCTCATTTTCCTTCACCAAAGTTCTCTCTTAGCTCTTTCTGAAAGTAAGTAGTTTTCCACTATACTTCTATTTACTGCAAGATCATATAATCTATAAATACAATGAGGACCAAAACATATTGGATGTGATGCACAATGATCCTTCGCATGTTCCAGTGCTGCCTAATATGTGCTCATTAAAATAATGTAAAAAAAAAAAAACAACAAAAAAACAAAAAGCAAATAACACTGTTGCCCTGACACAATGCAGCCCTTCTATGCTGTAATGCTATCAGAAAAACAAACCTACACGTGGACAAAATTGTTGGTACCCCTCGGTTAATGAAAGAAAAACCCACAATGGTCACAGAAATAACTTGAATCTGACAAAAGTAATAATAAATAAAAATTCTAAGAAAATTAAGCAATGAAAATCAGACATTGCTTTTGAACCGTGGTTCAACAGAATCATTTAAAAAAACAAACTCATGAAACAGGCTTGGACAAAAATGATGGTAACCCTAGAAAAGACTGAAAATAATGGGACCATAGGAACATGTTCAATCAACGCATGTCCTCTAACTAGCATCACAGGTGTCTACAAATTTGTAATCAGTCAGTTGGCCTATTTATAGGGTTACAAGTAGTCACTGTGCTGTTTGGTGACATGGTGTGTTCCACACTAAACATGGACCAGAGGAAGCCATGGAGAGAGTTGTCTCAGGAGATTAGAAAGAATATTATAGACAAGCATGTTCAAGGTAAAGGCTCTAAGACCATCTCCAAGCAGCTTGATGTTCCTGTGACTACAGTTGCACATATTATTCAGAAATTTTAGACATGGCCACAGGAGGAAAATTGATGACAAATTGAAGGGACAGATAATGCGAATGGTAACAAAAGAGCCCAGAACAACCTCTAAAGACATTAAAGGTGAATTCCAAGGTCAAGGTACGTCAGTGTCAGATCGCACCATCTGTCGTTGTTTGAGCCAAAGTGGACTTCATGGGAGACGACCAAGGAGGACACCATTGTTGAAAACAAATCAGAAAAAAGCCAGACTGGAATTTGCTAAACTTCATTTTGACAAGCCACAAAGCTTCTGAGAGAATGTCCTATGAACAGATGAGACAAAACTAGAACTTTTTGGCAAGGCACATCAGCTCTATGTTCACAGACGCAAAAATGAAGCATATCAAGAAAAGAACACTGTCCCTACTGTGAAACATGGAGGAGGTTCTGTTATGTTCTGGGGCTGCTTTACTGCATCTGGCACAGGGTGTCTTGAATCTGTGCAGGGTACAATGAAATGTCAAGACTATCAACGTATTCTAGAGAGAAATGTGCTGCCCACTGTCAGAAAGCTTGGTCTCAGCTGTAGGTCATGGGTCTTGCAACAGGATAATGACCCAAAACACACAGCTAAAAACACCCAAGAATGGCTAAGAGGAAAACATTGGACTATTCTGAAGTGGCCTTCTATGAGCCCTGATCTAAATCCTATTGAACATCTGTGGAAGGAGCTGAAACATGCCGTCTGGAGAAGGCACCCTTCAAACCTGAGACAACTGGAGCAGTCTTCTCATGAGGAGTGGGCCAAAATACCTGCTGAGAGGTACAGAAGACTCATTGACAGTGAAAGAAATCATTTGATTGCAGCGATTGCCTCAAAAGGTTGTGCAACAAAATATTAAGTGAAGGGCACCATCATTTTGTCCATTTTATTATATTTAGTCCTAATGAAGCAATGCCTTGTTTCTGTGATATGAATTCAATAACCAATGCAAATTGTAATGTAAAAATAATAAATGTTCTATAACAGGTTCACATATGTAAGCAGAAAATATAGTCACACTACTTCTGCGCAAGATGTAAGAAGCAAGAAACATCCACTCTTAGATTTTTGTTGTTGTTAGATAAGATAAACAGCTTTACCCAACCAATAAAATTAGTTTTGTTTTCTTTGCCGACACCCAGCCAACCCCCGCGAGCTGGGTCCTAACACTGTCACTGACCTAATTTATGAGCACCAGTTTCAGCTTAGTGAGTCTACTGCTATATTGCTGCTCTCCTGCTTCTTTCCTGTCCTGCCACTGTCTTTGTGTGTCTGTTTCCACACACTGACTCGCTCCAGACTGACACGCCGTAGAAACAGACACATACGGAGCACAACAGACCCGAGTGGAGCGAGAAAGGGAAAGATGGAGAGACAATAACTTAGCTCACACGGACAACAGTTTGCTACAGTTATTCATTGTGTTTTACAATACTAACGTGGGTTAAGGGTAGTTACGGGTAAAAAATGATTTAGATAATCATTTTTTGTTGACTTTTATATGCACATCTATTCCTGCTGTACATGACTAGTAAACCTTATAATCATACTTTCATGCACTCTCCGATCATTTCACATTTTAGTTATTGTGTGGCCTCTTGAACACAAACAGCAACTACAACAACCAAGCTTTATGTGACATGCAAATAATGCAACTAAAATTTAGACAGGAGCCAATAAGATCACACCACTTCCATGTCCTTAAAACATTAAATATTTTTATAGAAGAGTGTAATCTGAATTCCTCTATAAATGCCTCTATAAGCAGATTTATAAGGTGTTCAGTGGCCTGATGGATCTTCTCGACAGTTTCTGGCTCAGTTATAGTTGGAGTGTTGAGTGGGATTTTTAAGATGGTAAACTCTCATTTGGACAAACTTTTCTGTTTGGGGGAGAAACGGGCACAACTTATTACCAACAGAACTTGAACCTAGTCCTGGATCACTTTAAATTCAGATATTTTTTAAAGAGAGATGAGTTTTCAATGATCTGGTGCTTATTGCTTCATGATCCTTTAATTGCATCAAAGTTTGTTTTTGTTCATTGGGCTTTGTAGTCTTCTGTATGTAGTTTGTGTTCTCTGCTGTACATGATGAGTTGTTGAGTTTTGTGTTTTTAAAGGCCCAGCTAGGAGAAAGCACTGCAAATGAGCCTGGACTGTAAATGCTGCAGTGTGGCATTGTTTCATTCTGCACATATTTACCCCTACAAATAACCATCCATCCATTATCTATTCACCGCTTAATCCTCACTAGTGTCGCGGGGGGCTGGAGCCTATGCCAGCTGACTTAGGGCGAAGGCAGGGGACACCCTGGACAGGTCGCCAGTCTATCACAGGGCTACACTTAGAGACAGACAACCAAGCACACTCACATTCACACCTACAGACAATTTAGAATCACCAATTAACCTCCGGAGAACCCGGAGAGAACCCACGCTGCACAGGGAGAACATGCAAACCACGCATAAAGATCTCGGTGCCCCCACCGGAACCCGAACCGGTGACCTTCTTGCTGCGAGGCAACAGTGCTACCAACTGCGCTACACTGCAGCCCCTACAAATAAGCATTAAAATAAAATCATTTGATGCCAACATTTTTCCTAGATTCTGACATCCGCATGTAATGAGCTCTACTGAAATCAGGGCTCCAAAAAAATCCATCCTTTTCAGTAATTACTTCTAAAGTCTACCCATCCTACTCATCCTAATTCTCTCCATGCAGATCCTCCCACCTTGCAGGTCATCGTAGCCCAGGACTACATCCTCCATCCGGCCGTCGCTCCCTCTGCAGCTCAAAGACCTGATGATGGCCCCCAGGGTCAGTACCTCCACCCGCACGGCACTGGACTGGAGGGTCCACCGGTCCACGCTGCCCACACCGGACACCTCCCCCCACTGCTGCTGGCTTACCTCAGTCATCCTGGGCCTTGTAGAGACGGGACAAAACTGGACAAAACTGGACAAAACAGGACAGAGAGCTTCGTGTTAAAATGGCATTTGTGTTTCTCTCAGACCTCCGTGACTCGATGATGACCCAGTTCACGGCCAGTGGCACTGAGGAGAGTCTGGATGGAGCCTGGACACTATGTGCGCCTTCCGCAGCATAAACTTTATTTATGGTCACACTCACTGCACACAGAGAAGGACGACGTTCTTTGAGCTACGGAGCGGACACACAACGAGACAGCTGCTAGAGAGTCTGTACAGACAACTAAATATCTTTACAGTCAGGAAACCATGGACCTTTATAGATGTACTACTGGCCTGACATTGTGTCGTCTCTTACCTCCAAACACTCGGTCGAGTCAGCAGACTTTGGACTTGGTTTTGTTTACTTCCTGCTTCCTGCAGGGAGCTGCTGTTCCCTCAGTGCAGCCTGACAGGCAGCCAGCGGCTCCCTGCTCCCCGCTCATGTAGCACACTTAGAAACTTCAGCATCTCACATTTGTCCCACGACAGGAATATTTGACACCACTAAAGAAAAAGGTTCTACATTTTAAATTGGTGCTTCTGAGTCTATCCCACACTGCATTCATCAAGGATAGGTCAAGGGTACTTCTTGTATCCCCTCTTTCTATCCTCCTGATTTTAATCTATTTTTTTATCTTTGATTTTCTCTTCAGCTTCTCTCTTAACCCCCTTGTGTGATGTCGTCCTTTTAACCAGTTTTTAACCACCTGTCTTTTCTGTACATTTTCATTTTTGACGGTGTGTATTTACATGTGTTTGCATGCACTTTTTATTGTTTTTACCTGTGTCTGTCCTGTCCTGCCTGACATTTTACCTGTATTTTATTTTATGTTTTATCTGTCAAAGCACTTTGTGAACTGTTGTTTCTAAAGGTGCTATACAAATAAAGTGAATATTATTATATTATTATATTAGCAACGATGGCCATGTTTGAAAATAAAATACTGTTCATATTGTAAACCCCCACCAATCATTGTTGAATATTTCACTCTCTTTCAGTTTTGGTATCTCTGTCTGCCAGTCTGTCTGCTGGTTTGCATATCTCGACCACCATTTGTCTGATCGACCTCACACTTAGTGGGTGTATGTCTGGGGCCAGTGAAATGCAGTGTCCAGTTTAAAGTAGTCTGAGGAAACAATAAAGACAAGCATTCAGCGGTCGTCGGTGGCTCTGGTACAACAGGGGCAACTGAGCAGCAAAATGCCGTCATCAATTACATCAGAGGTGCATCATGAGAAGAGCTGGGCCCAGTCAAAGCATGGTAACGAACAAGCAAAGAACCCTCACCCTCTATCATCAGAAGTGTGGCAGTGTTTTCAGCACAGCTCTGCAAGCACTGCAAGCTGGAAATGGCTGAAAGCAACAGCACAAAAGTAAACTTTTGTTCAGCAGAAAGAACTCTGGAGTGCTTTGTGGAGGCTACAGTGACAGACAGGCCCGTCATGCTTACTGTTTGTCACCAGCTACTCTTGCATAGCCAGCCAGTCTTCAGCACTGAATGCAGAATGCTGCAGGACGGTCTGGCTACACCTGATCATCATTCTGCTGTACAGGGACAACAACAACAACAAGAACCAAAATGAGCTGCACTACTTCATTTCACAACCCCAACTTTTGGAAAAGCTAAGGTGGAAAAACAGCTGTGACATAAAAGATGCAACACACAGCTGGAATATACAAACCACAAAGTTTACATTCACTGTATAAATAGACATAAAACCTTTTTTTTCCTCATTGTTTGACATTAAATGTGACTAAACTTTTCCTGTTTTAGGTCAGTTAGGATTACCAAAATTATTTCTATTTGCTAAATGCCAGAACAATGAGAGAGAGCTTTTTTTTTATTATTATTATTACTTTCTTCAAAGTCAGAAGTTTACATACATTTCCTTAGTATTTGTTAGCATTGCCTTTAAACTGTATGACTGAGGTCAAACGTTTTGGGTTTCCTTCCACAATCTTCTCACAATAGTTTAATGAATTCTGGACCATTCCTCCTGACAGAACTGATGGAACTGCGTCAGGTTTGTTGGCCGCCTTGCTCCACATGACTTTTCAGCTCTACCCACAGATTTTCTCCAGGACTGAGATCAGGGCTTTGTGATGGCCACTCCAGAACATTGACTTTGTTGTCCTGAAGCCTCTTTGTAACTAATCTGGTGGTATGCTTAGGGTCATTGTCCATTTGAAGACCCATTTGCACCCAAGCTCTACCTTCCTGACTGATGTCTTGAGATGTTGCTTCAATATTTCCACACAATGTTCTTTCCTCATGATGCCATCTATTTTGTGAAGTGCACCAGTCCCTCCTGCGGCAAAACACCTCCACAACATGATGCTACCACCCCCGTACTTCACAGTTGGGATGGTGTTCTCAGGCTTGCCAGCCTCCCCCTTTTTCCTCCAAATGTAACGACGGTCATTGTGGTCAAACAGTTCAATTTTAGTTTCATCAGCCCACAGGACATGTCTCCAGAAGTGAAGGTCTTTGTCCCTGTGTGCATTTGCAAACTGGAATCTGGCTTTTTTAATGTTTTTTTTTTTTTTTGAGTAATGGCTTCTTTCTCTGAGTAGCCTTTCAGCCCATGGCGGTACAGGACTGGTTCACTGTGGATAATGACACTGTCTTTCCAGCTTCAGCAGTATCTTTACAAGGTCTTTTGCTTTTGTTCTGGGGTTGATACGCACATTTCTCACCAAAACACTTCATCTCTGGGACACAGAACCCGTCTCCTTCCCGAGCACTGTGATGGCTGGACATTCCCATGGATTTTATACTTGAGCATAATTGTTTGAACAAATGAACGTGGAACTTTCAGGCATCTGGAAATTGTATCCAAGGATGAACCAGACTTGTGGAGGTCCACAATTCTCTTCCTGAAATCTTGGCTGATTTCTATAGATTTTCCATGTTGTCACAAAAGAAAGCAGTGTGTTTGAGGTGTGCCTCCAATTAACTCAAATGTTTCCAAGCCATGACATCATCTGGGCTTTCCCAAATACTTCAAAGGTATAGTAACAGAGCGGCTCTCTTATCTAGGAATATGGAGAAATTTATTTAAAAAATAAATCCCTGACATTCCAGAGGTAAGACCAGGAAGCAGAGTTGCAGTCTTACACGCTTCTCTGCTGCTTGTCTATGGCTGTCATCCTCCCAGTATCCCATAGAGACTGTGTCTGGCCCCCGACCACCCAGATTCTATAAGTCTAACATTAACAGTAGAAGAGCTGTTCACGACAACATTCTCCAAATTAATACAATTTCATCAGAATCAAAAAAACAGGACAATTAAATGTGGACAATTAAACATCAGATATCTGTCATCTAAATCTCTTTTAGTTAATGATCTCAAAACAGATCATCATGTTGACTGAATGTGTCTGACTGAAACCTGGCTGCAGCATGAAGAACACGTTAGTCTAAATGAATCAACTTCCCCCAGTCATATTAATGTTCAAGTACCTAGAAGTACAGACAGAGGGGGAGGAGTGGCAGAAATTTTCCACTCAAACCCATGAATCAACCAGGGACCAAAACTTAGTTACAATTCCTTTGAAAGGAAATCTTTCCTTTAATTAATACTGCAGTATTAAATATCCTCAACTTCTCTTTATTATCAGGCTACGTACTGCAGGCTTTTGAAGTTGCCCTAATAAAACTACTACTAAAAAAGCCTACTCTAGATCCAGGTGTTTTAGCAAACTATAGGCTCATATCCAACCTTCCTTTCATTTCTAAAATTCTTGAAAAAGTTGTTACTGTCAATCATGTGATTATCTGCATAGAAGTGGTTTGTCTGAAGAGTTTCAATCAGGTTTTATAATGCATCACAGTTCAGAGACAGCACTGGTGAAGGTCACTAATGATCCTCTTATATCTTTAGACAGTGGACTAGTTTCTATACTTGTTCTGCTGGATCTCAGTGCTGCACTTGATACAGCATCTTTTTTACAGAGACTAGAATGTTAATTGGGCTTAAAGGAACTGCACTAAACTGGTTTAATCATATTTATCAGACAAATTCCAGTTTGTTCATGGTAATGATGATTCTTCCACTAATAGCAGAGTTAGTTACGGAGTTCCACAGGGCTCTGTGTTAGGACCAATATTATTTACTTTATACATGCTCCCCTTAGGCAATATTATTAGGAAGCACTACATACATTTCCATTGTTATGCAGATGACACCCAGTTATACTTTGAGTAGTGAGAGTTGCAAATTACAAAAATAAATCAATAAAAGAATGAAATGAAATGAAATGAAAAATACTTTATTCATCCCAGAAGGGAAATTCAATTATAAGAATAATAAAATAAAAGGAAGAATAAATAAAATAAAAAAGAAATAATGTGGCAATATAGAGCAATATTAATCAAAAATGAATCCATAAAAGAAAAGGCTAATAAAAGTAGAAATAAAATTGTTGGAGCTAAGTTTTCAGCAGGCTTTATCTTGATCCATTGACCACAGATTTGAAGTTTATGCAACTACTTTCTCGCCTCAAATAGTCTTAAAATTACATTATATATCACAGTAACAGTAATAGTTACAAAAAAAAACTTGTATTACCTTTAAAAGCTTTCTCCTTGGGGTTTATCACTGGTGGCGCAAAATGCATTCTGGGATACTTGGCTGTCCCAAGTCTGCACAAGGCTGTTTCTCAATACTCAAGGACACAAGTCCGTACTTCCGTACTATTCTTTTTGTGCTTACGCACAACGACATTCCTTCTGCGCACATTCCTACTGCGCGTATTTCCTTTGCTTTTAAAGCGACATTTGAAAAGCGCTTTAAAAGCAAAGGAAATATGTCCAGAAAAATGTGTGTAGTAGGAATGTCGCTGTGCCTTTGCTTTTAAAGCGACATTATAAAAAAATAAAAACAAATAAAAATAACGAAAAAGGAAAAAAAATAATACAAATTTTTTAAAATTAAAAACATATTTAACCTAAAAAACAACATTAAAAAATAAATAAAATAAATAAAATAAATTAAAAAATAAACATGAATAAATACATTTCAAAAATAAAACAAATAAATAAATTCTTCTTATTATTTTTATTATTTTATTTATTTGTCATTGTATTTCTACTTTTATTAGCCTTTTCTTTTATGGATTCATTTTTGATTCTGATCTGCAGCTGTTGGCCTCACCGACCTCCAAAATATTTATATTTATATTTATTGCTCTGTTCCATTGCTTGCTCTCCATCTGCTGTCCTGTTATCCCCACCCCCTCATCCCCATTCTTACCCAACCGTTCGAGGCAGATGGCCTCCTTCCCTGAACCTGGTTCTGTCTGAGTTTTTTTTTTTTTTCTTCCATTGGGGGTTTTTCTTTGAGAAAGCTATAAAAAGTTCTCAAAAAGAAATTCTTTCTCTCATTATTCTGGCATTTAGCAAATAGAAATAATTTTGGTAATTCTAACTGACCTAAGACAGGCAAAGTTTAGTCTGATTTAATGTCAGACAATGAGGGGAAAAAAAAGTTATATGTCTTTTTATACAGTGTATGTAAACTTCTGGTTTCAACTGTATATGTGTCTGGATCATACTTTATGAGTATACTACTAATATGTGTGCCACAACTAATTTATACTTCACATTGCAATGTGTGTTCAATAAAAAATAAAAATGTCTGTAAATTCTCGTCACATTTTACTATTTGTGACTTTAATTATAAGTTAAAATATATACTATATGGACACTGTTCTGCTCATATGACAGAGCTCATAAAATACAGCTGTAGGTTAGAACAAAACAATGGACAGGTGGTGCCACATGTGAAATTTATGTGATGTCGCTTTAAACTGACACTGAAGTGAGGATGTCTCATTTTGTTAAAAACCTGTTGACTTGACTCCTCACATCTCCTCTGCTTGAATCTCTACTGGGAGGGACACGAGGAGAGGAGTCGAGGATGTGTAGTTACTAACTAGTTAGAGAAATGTGTCGTTAGTAACTACTGAGGGGGAGGAGAAGGCTGCGTGAAATGAGAGGTTGATTGTGGCTGATGAGAAACCTACAAGCAGCAATACTAGAGGCCAAGCAGTCAACCCTACCTGAAACCAGCACGTTGAACAGGAAATGGTAAATTTTCCAGATTGCGTTAAAGCAACCATCCAACCAGAGATTAGTAAGACTTTGATTTACTGATCTCACAGATGTGTGACTTGGGGATTGTTGCTGTTTAATGGTAGCTGACAGCATTTTCAGCTTTGATCAGAATTTTAACCAATTCTAGAAATGTCATTTCATGTGCCAACACACAAGGATTGAAGAAAATACACTGTGCAAACAATGCCGCGAAGACATACCACATCTTTATTTTGCTCTCCCTGAAAAAAGTCCAGATTTATTAACAAATGTGAAGGAATGTCTAGTTGTGTATACAGAACATATTTGAACAAGATATTACATGAAACATCACAGCAAAACTACTGCTTTATTTTAATCAACACATTACTCACTTTATGTTGTATAGAACACACATGCTCCTCCTCTCCTTGTGATTACCCAGGTATAAATGCAAACTGAATTGTTTAGAGCACTATATTAGAATTAAGTATGCTTTATATATATGTGTGTGTGTGTCTGCATATGTATGTGTAAATATATGTGTGTATATATATATGTATATACATATATCTACACATACATATGCAGACACAAATGTTTCATGAACAGTTCAACGTGTACTTTCTTCACATTGTGCTTCGATAGAATTCCTCTGACAGATGCAAAACTTTTTCTTCTTTGCTGTATAACAGAAGTGTCCTTTAAAGAGGAGTGTTAGGCATGGATATTGCTGTTATACATGTACATGCAATTTATTAGTGGTTAATTAAGTACACTGAAAAGGTCCAAAAATCTTAACAATAGGATGGGTCACCTACATCTTTTGATAAGGATTTCGTGTTTCTTATTCATTCAGCCAATAGCTGAAGGCTATTAACAAAGCTGAACATTTGGAATAAAAGAGTAACTTGAGTGAGTGAGTGAGTGTGGTAATGTCCTTCAGTTGCTCTGTGATAAAATGTGCTTGTGAATATAACTATACAATAATAAATCATTTCATTTAGACCAAAACTCAAACAAATATATCAGTCTTCACAATAAGCTAGCAGGTTTCATCCAGAACCAATTGGTCTGATGTTATAGGTTATAAAATTTGCAAAAAAATAATCTATTGAAAAGTATTAGCTAATTCACGCTTGGTAATGAGATCACCCACTCTTATAAATAATCCTACATGTGCAGCCCATATGCGCGTAACTTCAGACTAGACAGAACAATATTCTTTTGTGTGTATTTATAGGCAGTACCACAACCATGGCTTAGTGTTCAATCATGACAAAAAATAGTTATTTTGTTAACCATGGAACAACAATGTTTTTTTTAAATTCCAACCTACAGTACACAATGTAATTTCACTGTATGAATCAGGTACTTTGTGGTTCCTAATGGTGATGTAGTGTCGGTACAGTAGAGGAAAACACAACAAAGAGGAACAAGGTAATAACAACTGAACATTGTAGGAAAAGGAGAAATTAGTAAGTGCTGTTTTCCCTGTTGTACTCTTTAATGACACAGTATATCAGTGTTCCCAAAATTCATTTTGTACTTCCATACTTTTTAATTACAGCATTTAAGTACCAGTAGGAACCACTCAGTATTTTATTGGCACCTGATTCATAAAATGACTTCAAAACCTGAACAAGATGAGAAATTATTTTTCTTTGTTTTTGCATGTGGATGTTTTGGTAACCTCTATCCCTAACAATTTTGGCTTACAATATTGTCCTGCTGATAATCTCACATTTTGTTGTGATAAAGCTGTAATGCTACGTTCATGTCATATCAGAGTTACTGTAAGTACCTGTCTCAATTTGTAGATATCATCCTTGTTGACTCCACCATGACACTATCAGTTCTTAAAAGTGAAACTTTCACACGTCATACATCGTGTATGACATGATCATAGTTTCAAACATTTCGATCTCTTTAGTCTGACAAATTTAGATGCAAAGAGCACCTTTACTGAGTGCTCCTACAATGGTTAGCAAATATTTGGTTATTCTTGTCTTAACTTGTAATTTTATCATTGTGACATATGAGGTGTGTCAGAAAAGTCTCAGGACTGGTGTCACAAAAGACATATTTCAAATCCAAACTACAAACTACCAGTTGTACCCTTCGAAATAATCCCCCTGGAGTCTAACACACTTTCCCAGCCTTCTCTGTCATGCCGCCATGCACTCCTGGAAGGATTCTTCCGGGATTCTCCACAGCTCCATCGTCACAGCCATCTTAACATCGTCCACATCTTCAAAACAGGTCCCCTTGATGACCCTCTTGAGCAGGGAGGTTGCTCCAGCACGACGGTGTTCTTCTTAGCCAGGAACTGTTGGATGCTGAGGGCATTGTGAGCAGGCGTGTTGTCATGGTGAAGCAGCAAGGACTTGTCCTGCCACCAACTCTCGCCTCTTCTAGCGCACTGAACGAAGCAAACGCCGCAGGATCTAGAAGTACTTGTTGATCGTCTGAAGGGGAAAACTCCTAGTTTGTAGTTTTGGTTTGAAATATATCTTTTGTGACACCAGTCCTGGAACTTTTCTGACACACATCATAATGTTTAAAGTCATATATAACAATCTCCACTTTATGTTAAGTGCAGTTCCTACTGGAAAAGCTCAGGGATAAAATCCAATACACCATAATTGTAGGGCGAGGCCATGCACTGCACATTGCCTGTTAACATGGCTCCTTTGACAGCTTTGCTTCACTTTACTTTTCAGAATGACAGTGGTGATGTGCAGACTTTGCTGTCTGGTTTAAAATGGTTGTTGATGAGCTTAGTATAAAATAAGATTCTGATTATAGGAGAAGTCTTTAGTCATCTTGACCAGGTTTCAGCCTGCAAAAAATATCTCAGGAACATTTTACACCAGAGATTTGCAAAGATAAAGAGAACATAACCCTAAAGCACTGTACATTCACTTTGAATTCAATGATCTTATCAATTGATTTGATTTATAACTGCCATCATTAAAACAAAGGTTAATTCAAAATATTTCAAGTCTGACAATACTGACACATTACATGTCACTTGTTTTGTTAAAATGTTACTCAATGCAGATTTTTTTTTCTACCAAAGTTCCTCACCACATGTGATGACAACTGACCCATCTCCATGACAACAGATCTGTTCATCAGTAATCTGTATTTACTGAGGAGGGCTGTGAGACAGCTGTCACTTTGTGTCACATATTACACCTCTCTGATGTAGAGAGAGAAGCCAGTTAGTTAATGCGTTCTTGGTGCATATTCAATTAAAAAAAAAAAAAATTATAATCATGTAGTACATATCTGAACTTTGTATGAAATCATTTATATTAAATTTATAATAAATACAAAAGTTGAGCTGCTACTAAAGGATATCAACACTGAACTGTTAAACAAGAACAATGGTCAGTCAGTACATTCCAAATTTTCGCCTTCTAGCTGAGCCCAAACAAGGAAACTTTGGTCCATTTGTTCATCTACCCACCCCTTTGGTCCAGGGCAAGATAATACTACTAGTACTGGCCAGGTTTCTGTGAAATTTTGTACAGCTATTCATATTCAACAATAAAGTACCTAAAGATCATATTGCAGCGCTGCCATGACTGTAGACCTAATTTTACCATTACATTTTTTTAAAAATCTATTCAAATATTAGTGACATAACAGCATTTGCACCATCATGTATCTAAAAAATAAAATATTAAATGCCTCTTGCCAAAAAGAAAGTTTTGTCAAGAGGCAATGACATACATAACTAATGAGACTAACTTCTCTCTCACATAGACAACATGAATCAGACTGCTACCAAAACAAGGCCCTTCAGCCCTTTACTGCCACAAAACAGGTGACATTTCAGAAGTCAGTTTTCAATATCTGTGCAGTAAGATCATTTGAATCAAAGTATGTCTTTGACAAAGCTGGATAAATCCATTCAACAGATGAGATTCTCCGTTGCTGCAGGGTGCCCATCTAGCTGGTGTCACCAAGAACTGTCAGTACAGAGCTGGCCTGCGAGGCAAGTTTATCGCTGCTATGATCTGTCAGTTTAATGAGGCTTTCCCTCATATTCATGGTGTTCAGCTCGTCCTTCATCACACCTGGATCAGACAAGGATGTAAACATGAAGAAAAAGAAGCATGAGTTGGATAACAGTAGTGGTCCAATTATAAAGCTGGCCACATATTACACCTCTCTGATGTAGAGAGAGAAGCCAGTTAGTTAATGTGTTCTTGGTGCATATTCAATAAAAAATAATAATTATAATCATGTAGTACATATCTGAACTTTGTATGAAATCATTTATAAAAAAGTTGAGCTGCAACTAAAGGATATCAACACTGAACTTTTAAACAAGTACAATGGTCAGTCAGTACATTCCAAATTTCCACCTTCTAGCTGAACCCAAACGTCCAGATAATTCTCTGAACATCTGATGGTGTGTATGTTGCGTACATGTGTGGATTGTGTCATCAATACATAACTTTTCCTCCTGTCTTTTAAAATAAAGAACATAAGATGAGCTACTTTTTATTTAATGGCACAACAGAAGAGTGCTGCTCAACCAACCATTCAGTTTCTCAAAACCTAAGTTGCCACAGGACCTAAAACGGCAACGTTACAGTTCTCTGCTCAAGGCACTGCTCAGATGTTTTAAAGTGCAGTTCTTCTAATGGTGACCAGATGCTATTCTACAGAAATATATTCATAAAGTCCCAACTTGTGCCTCAAGATACAAATCAGTCCTCTTTGCCGCTATGTTCATTGGCAAACTTTAGTTTTCTGCAGCCTTACCTGCAGATCCTGTGATGAAAATTTAGGGGTTCTTGGAAACAATCAACAAATTGGACTAAACTTGCTGCTAAATTTGAACTTTTTCTTGGCCTTTCTAAATTCCTGACCAGACTTAAACATCCACAACAATTTTTCTCAAGGCATTATTGAGTTGTCTATATCTTGGCATTAGGACAACCATGCACTTGGGTGGGTTTAGGATATTTGATTAAGATCCACCTGAAGATAAATTCCACCTATCACTTCCTAAGGAGGTTCGAATCATCAATCGCAACTAATCTGGAAACCCTGATTGTAAATATATGGCCTTTAAGTAGTTTCTTTTTCCATGTGACTGATCTGCTGTTAGTCCATCCATCCATTTTCTATACACCGCTTAATCCTCATTAGGGTCGCGGGGGGGCTGGAGCCTATCCCAGCTGACTTAGGGCGAAGGCAGGGGACACCCTGGACAGGTCACCAGTCCATCGCAGGGCCACACTTAGAGACAGACCACCAAGCACACTCACATTCACACCTACGGACAATTTAGAATCACCAATTAACCTCAACATGTTTTTGGACTGTGTGGGAGGAAGCCGGAGAACCCAGAGAGAACCCACGCTGCACGGGGAGAACATGCAAACTCCATGCAGAAAGATTCCGGTGCCCCCACCGGGACGCGAACCGGCAACCTTCTTGCTGCGAGGCAACAGTGCTACCAACTGCGCCACCTTGCAGCCCTCTGCTGTTAGTATTTTTCTGAAATATAAAAATGACTTCAAAATATTATGTCATTTGTCTGAGTCCCTCACATGTATCTGCAAGCACTGTTTCAGTAAAGGATCAAGTATTTGCTTGCTCAAGTTTGCTGAAAATGTCTACAGTTTCCACATTTTGCTTTTTAACATGACTGCACACTGGCTGTTGTTTTTTCACAGATCTGCCCAAATTGATCATGGCCAGCCAGAATATTTTCCATGAAAGTTTTAAAACATGACCTTCTAACTAGAACCTTGTATTTAAGCTTGATTTTAAGGACACGGTATGTGATATGTTAAAAGTGTATGATATGTATTGTATATTAACAACAATAAGACAAGACCATTTATATGAGTCCTGAAGCTTCAATATGATGGTAGATTGTTTGGATGCCTACATTCAGTGGGCATTAAAAAAGCAGACTTGTGTCCTATGGATCATGAAAGCCGCCTGTAAATGCCAGATGAGGATGACCGTTGATAGTGTTATTGTATTGTGCACCCTGTCTGGACCTCTGCTGCACTAAAAACCCCAAAAACTAGACACTATTTATATAATGAATGCTTAAGCCACAGAAACATGGGTTTTCCCTGCAAATCTGCATTATAACATCTTAGTTAGTTCTCATCTAATAATTAATGTTCCCTACCTGTTCTCGGACCATATTTTTTGATTATTTGTAATTTTGAGCTGGAGTCTGAAGGATGCCATAGCTGTTGCTGTAAAACGCTCAGCTTGGTGTTCTTTTGCGCATTTATTTTGGACTTGGTTCCTGTTTCTATTACTCCTTTATTACAGTTTTTTCTCATTGTGAAATTTGCTTTAGAAAAGTATCTCTGGGACTTTTGTTGTTGTAAAATCGAACACATACCAGAGTTAGCGAGGCTGCAGATGAGACCTAAAGCACTGAACTTGACCTCAACTGCTCCCGTAGAATCCTCCAACATCTTCTTCAGCATGTGTAACAGCTCTGCCTCCCTGACTGGATCCTTCATCGACTCTGCAGTGTTCACAAACACCCACAAACAAATACATAAACATACTTGCAAAGGTATTATAATTGCATTTGTACTTTTACATTTTTTTATCCAAAATTTAAACATGTCATATCAACAATTTCCCTGAGGTTTGCACCAAAGGGATCAATAAAGTTCTATTCTATTCTATTCTATATACCTCAATTTGTCAACTGTAATCTAGTTTACAATAGGACAACTACTCAGTAGTTTAAAGTGGATTTTCCTGTGTATTCCTTGCTGTAGCACATTGATCGCATCTGTTTTAAATGGTTTTGAGTGAATGTTTGAAGTTTGCCATTCACTTGCAATGCTTTTGGTTTTTTTTGACAGAGTACAAGCAGGAACTTTGCTTTCTTCATTTTGCATTGTGATCTTCACTTGTGTAACATCCATTACAACAGCAGAACATACAGCCTGTTTTGTATGATACAACTTATTTTTAGATGGAGGTAAAATCTTTAGCTGAATTTCAGGAGCAGGACCACACCTCAGTCACTCCCCTTCCTGTCGTATATCTATACCTACCACTCTGCCCTTCCCACTTGTTCGTTCTTGCTTCTCGCGCCCCACCCACCTTCCCTTTACTTCAGTCTCCTCTTCCTGTCTTCTTCTTTTCCATGTTTGTCCACTGGCCCTGGAGCTGCTGATACCTGACTAAGTTTTTCCCCACACCGCATCAGCTCAACCTCGTCATCACCAAAATGATGCTCATTTGCATCCAATAAACAATCAAGCTTCAACTTTATGGCATGGTCCTTGCTAGTGAAAATTAGGCGAATATTGAACCTTGGTTAGCCAGAGGTAGAACTGTCTAACCACTGTGGTGCTGATTATAATTCACACACAGCTCACACACAGTGCAGCTTATTTTCCTGCCCTTTCATGTCTACATAAGCTGAATTCAAAAAACTAGCATATGTCTTACGTCCTGCAACCAAATGATATGTGAAAAAATTCACCATTTCATAGAAGCATAAAACTTAGTTACTTACCTTTTCAGAAATGGAGCAATTGCTTTAACAACTCGTGGTGGCAATGGTTGCCATTTTACTCTCCACCATAACCAAATTATGTATTTTGTATCATATCTCCTGAACCAAACATGAAAAGAGGATGTCTGGTCAAGTGTTTTAATAATCAGGGATTACAATGATACCATATACAACAGCATAAACAGTTTTCAGACTACAGAATTTTGAGATGTTGTGTGAAGGAAATCATGACATCTGAGAATCTAGGCTGAACTTCATATATGTCAGGTCTCTGACATATATGCGCTGCAGAGTTTTAAAAGCTTCTGTTCATTAACACTGACAATACAGTGACTGTAGCGAGTAGAACAATGCTCATTATGATTTTCATATTTCAGAAACACGTTTGATTGTTTTGTTGCTGTTCTTGAACCTGTTCTTTGCATTCTCCTCCACATAGACTAAGAGGTGTCCACTTTAACAAGGCTTTTTTGTATTTTCAGTGTCCACTGCATCCACTTGACAGTTCAAAAATGGAATGGCTTGAGTGAGTTCATTTTGCTTTCATGGTCTTGTCAAAGACTGATGATCAAATGCAAAAAATAAAAAAATAAATAAATAAAATATTCCACATAAAAAGCAGCTTTTCATGCAGTCACAACTGCATTTCTGTGTTATCATGTTCAGTTCAGGAGATGTGATGTAAAATATGTAATTTGCTTAAGGCAGAATACAAATGGCAGCAATGGCCCTCATGAGGCATTTTTGCAATGGTTCCATTTTTGAAAATGTTCTGTACAACTACACCAAGTTTCCCACTTCTATGAAGAAGTGAACATACCTCCTAAAAACTGTCACAAAACCATCTGAACTATTGTCAGATTTCTTATTTTAGCAACACATGCAGCATATCATCATCAGCTGGCTCTCATGAACTGTCTTCTATAATCTGTTACAAGCCATCAGCAAGTGAAGTAACAAAAAACCTCAAACAGCTACAACTCACCAGAGATTAAAAAAACAGGGTGGTAGGGGAGTTAAAGTCAGGAACCATACAGGTATGTGACTTATAATGCATCAACATGACACACATCAAAGGTTTCAGAGGAATCCCACAACCATAAATTGTCTGAGCCAGAAGAGTCATTAATGACCCGAACTGTAAACACCTCAGACCAGCTTCTCCATGTTCAACACAGCATGAAATTTACTGGAAAGCTTATTTGTGAGAATACTGACAGAACATCAGTAGGCTCCACCTGAGAGTATAGACAGCGTATGCAGCATACACACCAAATCAATTAAAGAACACACCCAGAGAAAAGCTGTGCTCCATGTTTGTCTTTGTAAAAAAAAAACATTGTTCAACCATTTCAGGTGTCTGATGTTTTTTTCAGTGTTAGGGCCTCTATTCAGCAAGAATATCAAAGTGGTATACTTTGTCCTAACTGGCCAATATTTCTCAATGACAAATTTTGGTGCTGCTTCTAGGCTAAGGAATAGCAATGTTCTCCTCTCTCAGGATTAAGAAGAATCCTAATCACTCAGAAGTTCCAGGAATATTTAAATTTAAACCATAGACTCATGAATACTCATCAGCCTAAGAGTTCACATTTGGGTCTAGTCGAATGTCTATACTCTGACATGCCTGGTAAATGTAGACCCAGAGCTTCAGACATAAACTCTGAAATTGCTTTACCAATGTCAATGGCAGATGCTATCGCCAGGGCGACCAGGGCCTCATTCTGCATGATGACATGCTCACTTGTTGCCATACAGATAAGGTGCCGAACCCCATCCGCTCTGGCTACAGCACGAACAACTTCCTGTTAGAGAGAGGAAATCAGCCCAACAGCCACTAAGTTAAGCTCCAATAAACTGGGTTTGATTATGAGGAAGAAAGCAATTTCAACTTTATGTAAAGTTAACTTTCAGATCAGAAACAAACTCACAGGGTTGCGGCTATGTCTGATGAGGGCAGCCAAAAGGCGACTGGCTTCACCTCGAACTCCTGCATGGTCTTTGGCTTCACACCACTCCATGATACGAGCTAGCAGCACAGCATCTCTTCCTAGCGCTAAGGCCGCCTCCTCTGACACACAGAACAGAGAGAAGGAATGATAGATTTAAAACATCAACTGAAAACACCCAAATCCACAGCATCTGGCAAATATGGTCACAAGTTGGTCAGGAGAAAAAGAACGGACATACAAATATACAAACAGCCATGTGAAGCTCCAATATACTGTACGTTACAATGATAAGAGCGGACCATGGAAAGAACTGCATACATGCTATGCTCCAAATGTCCAATATCTGATGAGGATGGTGCCAGAGTAAAGAAAGTATGATCAATTGGGCTCATTACCCTGGAAACAGTGGACATTTTTCACTATTTTGTGGCATTTTATAGATCATGCAATTACTTCATCAATCAAGAAAACAACAGGTTTGGTGTCCATGGTGAAAGGGGGAAATGTAATCAGAGCAAGGGGATTGGAGAAATAAATCAAAAATTTAAAGATAACCCACAATGAATAGGCCCAGGGGACTGTTAAAATGGAGACACATGGTGTGCCCTCTGTGGAGGGCCTGGGTGCAGCCACCCACAAGTCCTCCTCCACACCCTTCTACTGTCTCCACATGTAGGCCCAGTCCAGTCTTTTGCAAAGGTTTACAAAGGTCATTTAGAGATCTTCTAAAAAAATGTTGTCAGTCATGGCCCATTACATTTAAACTATTCTCTTGTCCAAATGGAAAATTTTGTGTAACTGTAATACCACATGACACAAGAGGAATCACATATGGGAATAGTAGCACTGAATGCATTTATTCTCATGCATAAATATTTAGTATTTCAACTAACAGCTTTGCTTACCTTGTCCATCTACCATCATCCGCAGTGTACCCAGCAGTTTGAACTGAACTGGTGGCATGTCAGAGCGCAGCAAGGTCTTTATTCTTTCAGTCACCCCATCCTCCAGCATCCTCACTTTGTTGGTAGCTAAAAGACACACAGCTGGCATGTCATACTATACACTTTCCAGGTGTTTCAGTTTAAGGGGTAAATGTGTTCACATACACTGCTCTAAATGGATTATAAGAACAAAAGAAATTCAGAACAAATTTGGCATCTGTGTCATTTTTTATCAAATTTAAAGACATAATTTATTTTAATAATGTTGTTTTACATCTTTACAAACATGTTAACAGTTTTATTGGTTTTTCTGATCGACCCATGTAACACATTTTTCTGACAACTGGCCAGCATAACCAACTGAGCGGGTTCTGTAGGTTGTGGAAGATTGTTCACGGAGCATATTGTGTTTCTTGGTGTAAAGACGTACCTCTTTCCTTTGAAAGCTAAGTTTCAGTGTTAAACCCTTTGGTCAGAGGAGGCCTATTGCTATTGTTTTGCTTTGAACAGTACCAGGAATCGCTAGGTTTCTGAGCGCACTCAGTCCGGCATGTTGAACAGACACATCTCCTTCGTCTACATGCTGCTCCAACAACGTCAGGATGTGAGGAACCACACCAAGGTCCAGCATCTTCACACAGTTACTGTCTGACAGAAACACAGTGACCCAACAAAGACACCTTCAAATCCTGATCACTTTATTATATAAGAGCATAGCACTTCACCAAGTCATAGCACAAAAACTCAATCATCACGCAAAATCAACCAAAATACAATCTGTCAAACATTTTTTTTTCTCTAGAAGATGCTCTGGTTTGGCTCCTTTAAGCTGTTTTTAATGTCTACAAGCTCCCGTGACAAATATCTGGCTCTTTGGCTGCTAAATACTCTTCGATGTTCACTACCTCCTGACTGTGTCTGGCTGCTGAGCAGGTAGTGTACAGTGGGTTTGGAGTTTATTCCTATGGAAACATCTACCTGCTGCTGCTGGAAATGACAAGGCAGGCAGAGGAAACAAAAATAAAGCCTAAAGATGCGAAGATGTTCTGTAGAGCTTAGAGGAGCTGTAGATGTCATTTCAGAAACCTACTGGTAATGTCACACAGATTTCCTCACAGTCTGTGTTCTCACCGTTTCTGGCAAAGTTTGCGATGGCGAGGGCTCCTGACAGCTGCAGCTGGGTGTTGGAGCTCTGTAGCCAGGACAGAACATCCTGATACACCAGACCTGATCCCTCACCAAAACACTTCTGCATAGACTCATCTGACAAACACACACACACACAAAAAAACAAAACAGTGTAACACATCAGACAACACATTATTTTGTTCAACAATTGGCACTGACATCATCATCTCTGTATGAAGTAGACAAATGCCGAAATGCCGTAAACCTGCATTCTTTCAAACAGCCAGCAACGGGTGACTCCTCTGTTTGCAACAAGAAATCAGAGTTTATTGGAGTCTATGAGAAATGACCTGGCTCTTTCCTTGATCTGTAACCTTACTAAACAGTTTACCAATGAATTTATGGTCTCAGTGACTACTGTCAAGTCTTTTTCAATATAGCATGGTCCTCATGTTGTAAATTATGCTTCCATTTCGAAAATACCTGTGAAAATAGACAACAAATAAAGTGTGGTATGTTTTAGGGTGGGGATACCTTATGAAGACAGGTTGCTACCATACCACTGTTCTTGAGTGCTCAGTCAGATCCATTTCTCACTCATTACTTCCGGTTTTGAAGGAGCAAGACCTAGATCTATTATTTACATGGAGTCTGTGGTTGAGCCTCTGATTTATCTTTAGCTGGCGACTCTGAGGGCTGCAAGGTGGCACAGTTGGTTAGCACTGTTGCCTTGCGGTTCGCGTCCCAGTGAGGGCACCGGGATCTTTCTGCGTGGGTTCTCTCCGGGTTCTCCGGCTTCCTCCAAAAACACGATGAGGTTAACTGGTGATTCTAAATTGTCCGTAGGTGTAGCCCTGTGATAGACTGGCAACCTGTCCAGGGTGTCCCCTGCCTAAGTCAGCTGGGATAGACTCCAGCGACAATAATGAGGATGAAGCGGTGTATAGATAATGGATGGATGGCTACTCTGAGCTGAATATGCACAGTAATGCACAGAATTCTTGGATAATCTGTATCAGCTCTGTCACAACACATCTGCAGTGAGGTGCGCGGAGCAATTTCTTTGATTTAAAGGAAAGCATGAATGAGACAGACAACCAGAAATAGATAGAAAAAATCTAATAAGGATGTGAATACACCTAGACAGAGATGCTGGTAACACACAAACACATTCAGAGATGTCTCATATTACTCACCTCCTAAAAGCAGAGACACTATGAGGTTGGAAGCAATCTTGATGCTGCAGAGGTCATGTGGGTCAGAACCTCCCTGCAGACCACGAATCATCTCTGATAAAGCCTCTGGTACTCCTGACTCTGCAAACTGCAGCTTCAGTATATCTGGTTGTACAGCACAGTCAGGTAAGCCTTCCTGTTCTCTTCTTTAAACATTATTAACAGCTAATGTGCATTTTTGTGATATTGTTCTTGTGCAACATCCTTAAATATAAGACAAAAACAAAAACTTTTTGTCTTTTATATTTAAAAATAAACATATTTTTGTCTTTTTTGACACTGTCTGATACAGTGATCACTCACATCCGAAGTTTTTGTTCTCCATGTCTCTATCTTCAGTATTTGTTGATACAACCACACAACCTTTGACTTACATAAGTGAAAATACTAGAGCTGCACTGGTCAAGCTTATCACAGTTCGAGGTGATGTAAGGAATGTGTTCATATATTTTGAACAATCAATCGGTCCAACTGCACAACCTTTCTGCAGTGCATTTTTTAATGATAATTATACGTTTATGATTCATGAGCTTCATTAGCTCTTGTTAGCTCTATGACTGCTGTTTTATGCCTAATATTCTGAATTATTCATTCCTCTATTTAAGAGAAGACAATATGGATGGAATCTTCAATTAAGATACATGTAATTTTATATTGTATTAACAGTTTATATTGTTAGCCAATCTAGCAAATAAAATATCTGACAAGTCACAGTATTGTATTCCAAAATAAAATTGCTCTATGATGATTATATTGGTTTACATTTTTATTATTCAGAAGCAGATTTACTGTGCTTAATGCACTGCTTCTAGGGTTAGCTACCTCGGAATAAAAAATAGGAACAGTGCTATTAATAATGGCTTATGATATCATCTGACTAATTTAAGAGGTTTATGGGCAGCTCTATGATGAAATATAAAGTCCTTTGGTCTTTCCTGCAGCACTCTGTCAGTCTTACCACTCTCGCCCAGTGAGCCCAGGATTTCCAAGATGACATGTCGGCGTTCAGCATCAGGAGCACGTTTCAGCTGAATGGTTAGTACATCTGCCACATCCAGCTCTGCCAGGGCCTCCCTTGCAGAGTCTGCAAACAAGGAGGTCTATAACTATAGACAGTGCTAGAAATAACTAATTATTCTCACTAAGTAATCATATATCTGATATCTGCAGGTAAATTAACACAGAAGCTTTTTGAAATGTTAAATTTCCCCTCTGTCTTCTTCAGAAGAGTTTCATTATCAATATTATTATTGTTATACATATATGCATACAACAGTGTTAGCCAGCTGTCTTCTTGGACAAGCTCTAGTTGTTTTATCCTGGTTGTATCACTGTAAGCTTTAACTAAGCCATTGTTTGCCACCCATGATAAGATGAGTTGGGGAAGCACTGAAATATGACTAAAGTTAGGTCGGTGCTTCTTTGTTCATTCTTCTCCATGAATTCTTTTGAAATTGTCAAATTGTTCAAAAATTACACTTGCTGTGACAGAGAGCCTGTGTTTTATGACTGACAAGAGATACCCCAAAGAGTGCACGGACAATACATACACAATGCAGAGCTGATCAAGAATTCAAAAAGGACAATCTTTTAGCTGTGAAGAACATATTAAAATACTGAGGCACTATGATTGAAACAACAGTTAATTAATAAACACTTACTACATAGATACAATCAATAAATAATTACCCAAGTCAACCAGGTTACAGAGTGCCAGCAGGCAGACGTTGACCAGGGGGTCGTTCTCTGGATACTCCCTCATTATGGACACCAGTCGAGGGATTACACCAGTCTGGACTAACTGCTCCTGTTGGTATGCTGGGTCAGAGGTAAGAGAGAAAGGGGAGAGTACAAGTGTTGGGGGACAAAGGGACAGATGGAGACATACTGTTTAGACATTTACTTTACTTCAAACATCAGAATGGGAGGATATGTAATATCAGTGCTTTGGAAATTGACAAGATTGTTGACAGGCTGGTATTTTTCTCAAATGACCGATCTAATCATACAATGATAAACAAAACAATGCAGTGAACGGCAGTTCTGTGGATGGAAATGTCTTGTTGATAAGGCAGGTCAGAGGAGAATCACAAGACTTCTTGGAAGAAGTAGCTTTTATTTGTCACATATCCTGTACATTGTAGTAGAGGGAAATTTGTTTTCTACACATCCTGGCTTGTTAGGTTCCACTTCTTCCACTTCAAGCAAAAATAGAAATCTGAAGCTGCAATGGGCACAGCCTCAGTGACAGTGGACAGTCAGGTCAAGTCAGTGTTTTTTATACAGCACATTTGGGACAACAGAGCTTGATCCAAAGTTAAAAAGACTATGATTGGTGTTATGAAATTAACGAAACAAGTTTAAATATTGGGGTTAAGATAACGGCGTACAGATGCGACGCTCTTGCCATTCAGTGCCAAATCTTAAGTCCAGTAGTGTGAATCCCACCTACAGCCAACACGATCTTCTGATCATAGGTCTTCAGTGTAATCAGGCTGTTACAAGTGAATTTCTGCATTCGCACAATATATCTGAGAACGTAGCCAGGTCAACGGGCTTTCGATGGATTGTTATCGGCCCCGGCAGGTGCCAGGGATGGAGGCAGTACGAGAAGCAGAAGCAAGAATGCCTGTCTGGTCTGTGCCTGCCCCAAGGCTAAGAAAACAATCACAGGAACGGCCGCTACAGAGCATCTTTGTAACAAACACCAGATCCATCACCAACAAAATGGATGAACTAGAACTATAAATCTCTGTGACCAAACTCACACAGGACTGTTGCATTCTGCCCATGATACAGACTTGGCTTGACCTTCTCATCCCCGATGTTGCCATGCAGTTAGCAGGACGCACTGTATTCCACTGGGACAGAAGCAAAGACTCCAGTAAAAGCTAAGGAGGGGGATTATGCATTTACATCCACTGGTGCAACAACCGGTGCACTGATGCCAAAATCATAGACAGCCACTGTTGTCATGATTTGGAGTACCTGACAGTTAAATTCAGGCTCATTTACGTTCCTAGTGAGTTTGCCGTTGTTGCAGTCACAGCTGTTTACATTCCACTGGATGCTAATGCTACTATAGCTCTAGGTTACTTGCACAGTGCCATAATCTCACAACAGAGCACATTTTTAGAGGCAGTACATATCATAACTGGGGATTTTAACCATGCAGATTTAAAGACAGTTCTACCCAAATTTGAGCATCACATCAGTTGTTCCACTAGAGGGGGAAACACACTGGATAGAGTTTGTTCTAACTTCAAGAAAGGCTTCAAATCAACACCATCTTTACACAAAGGCCAGTCAGCTCACTTGTCCATACTCTTAACCCCAGCATACATCCCCCTCAAAAGAAAAGCTCAACCCACCATAAGAATTATAAAAACATGGCCTGAAGGAGCTTCCTTGCTAACTTGACTAACTTGGACATCATTGAGAATCAGGACTTGGAGGAATACACATCTACTGTACTCAACTATACACAGAACTGTGATGACAATGTAACTGTAAATAAATACATCTGGGTGTACCCTAATCGGAAGCCCTAGATGATGAGGGAAATAAAATCTCTTCTCAAGGACTGTAACACTGTTTTCAGGTCTGGTAACATACATGCTCTTTACAGTGTTGCTAGAGGCCACCTGATGAGAGACATCAGGAAGGCTAAAGCAGCCTACAGGAGGAAGATTGAGGAACACTTCAAGAACAACGACCCCATCTGGTGTAGCAGGACATCCAGCACATCACCAACTACAAGACCTGCAACCTTATGACGTCTGACAGTGACGCCTCACTGGCAGAGGAACTAAACTGCTTCCTTGACAGATTTGAGGTGGAAACAACAATCATAGAAACCACATCTTCACCAGCACCAGACAGCCACGGCATATTGTGTGCAAAATGCCACCATTACGTCACTAACTTAGTGTCTTTCTTGCTCTCTCTCTGTAGGTATGTCTGGATCTGAAGCTACATGTCTCTGATCTATCGTCATTGGCCTCCGTGGAGCCCCCATTCAGTTTTGTTCATATAGTGCCAGTTCACAACATATGTCATCTCAGAGCACTTCACTTAACAGGGCAAAGACCTTATGAAAATTAAACAAAGAACAGAGAACCCAACAATCCAAAGTTGCCTTTGGATTCCCTGTGAGCAAGCAGTCGGCGACAGTGGAAAGGCAGCAAAAAAGAAAAACTTTTAACGGGGAGGCTCAGAGAAGTGGGGTCTGCATCTGGTTGAGGTGAGTGTGGGGATGAGGGGGGTGGGGATAGCAAGATAGCAGATGGAGAACAGACAAACAATACTACAAAACAATGAGCATTTTGGAGGTCGGTGAGGCCAACAGCTTCAGATCACAGACGTTAGAAACAAGCACAGGACCTTGAGGGAAACACAGAGTTAGTA